GGGGGGGGGGGGGGGGGGGGTGCGCTCATGTTTTGCATCCCTTAGCGGCTAGACCATTGACCACGCGTCCTTAAAAGGACGGAGCGTTGTTTCCACAGGACCGATCGCTGATGGGCAGTCGTTCCTTCCTACTTTGCCGAAGGTGGCTCAAAAATGTCTTCCGTAAATATCGGGGGTGTACTACTTGAAGTAAACGCATCCCATAGTCGTTACACCGGGGGGGGTTATGGATGGTGGCGGAGTCTATGGTTTGGTTGGCCGGCAAGCACTTGTGTCGTTGCTCATTAAACCCATGAATCTCCTGTGCCTTATTTTCCTGCCTCTAGGAGATACTCTAGAGCGTTGTTTGTAGCGGCACGGAAGAAAGTTTTGCCTTTTGGCGAAAAGAGGGAAATTGTCGTCTTGATAAACGCCGCGGACATTTGACCCGTGTTGGAAGTTGTCCACACACTTTTGCTTGATTCGATGCGACCTGGACGACTCGGTTTTGTCAGTCATGTATGCTGTAACATGACGTTTCGAGATGAGAACTGCCGATGGAGCATGTGAGGATACGCTCCCGCCCCCCCCCCACCGACCCCCCAGGGACAATTTCGCATCATGGCTGCCATCGATTTTGTTCAGTTAACATTAAGCACATACATCATGGCTATGCGCGCGTCGCAGGAAGAGCGGGTGATGGCGAAGGAGTTGCAGAAAGTCGCGCAGGCCGCAGAAGCGGCGGAATTAGCACACGCGACCGCTTCGGCAGCCGCTGCCGCAGCACCACCGGCACTGTCAGGCGGAGGAGGGAAGAAGTCGAAGAAGAAGAAACGGGGCGGGAACAAAGCTAAGAAGCCGGATGCGGCGGCGGAAGCTGCTAGCCCTGGCCCTGAGGCTAGCCCTGCGGATTCAGGGGCGGAGGGGAGGGGGGTGAACGGGGTCGGGGGGAGTTGTGCGAGAGGGAAGAAGGAGGAGGCGGCTTGTGCGACCACCGGGGCACAGAAGACACAGCGCGAGATTAGGTATGTACGTGTAGCATTGTTGTTGTTGTTGTTGTTGTTGTTGGTGTTTGTGGTGAAATGGGTGGCGTTTTGCTGTTTTGTGTGTCATCGTCATCGTTGTTGCTGTCGTTGTATCGACATGAGCATACTATTTTTATTATATATAATAGTCGTTCTGGCTTGTATCCGGTGCCTGTTCTTCCACACTCGTCGAACGCAAAGACGGAATTTCCATGTGGCCACATGTTTATCCAGCGCAACACACTAAGGAAGAGAGAGGAGAGAGTCAGTTTCAGCTATAATAGTTGTTCTTGTCCTTGCTTCCGGTGGTTAGTTATTGAAAAATTACGCATATTGGCTTGAACCCGTGCTCGAGTGGTGCGAGAGACCGTCCTGTTGCCCCCCGCGGTCAGCTGCACCGCCTTCTGCAACGACTTGAGTCGATAATATTCTCCTTTCACACGAGACGAGAGCTAGAGTAGTCGCGTTGCACGTTCCGGACTATGATTCATGTCGATGTAGTGCTCGGTGGAGCAACTGACGGAGTCGTCGTGGGGGGCGTGGTATGTGGTGTGGGCCGAGATCCCTACCGCCGGCACATGTTTGGCAGCCACCCGTTGCGTGGCCTGTATCCTCTGCCTGCACGCGCCGTCCGAGCTGTCAAGGTGTGGCTGCGGTGGCATCTCTGCAATTTTTTCATCAACTCGCAAGAGCTACAGACGGCGGTGATAGATATGTGTTGCCCTATCCGAACCCCGAGTCTTAGTGCCGCCCCTCCTCTTTGGGTGATTTGTTTCCGCCGCCGGTGTGTGCGCACGACCCCCGACACACGACGATACAGCTGGGCGATAAGGAGGGACTGGGAGACAGCGGACATGAAACTCCGGCAGTTCTTGTGCCGCGGCTCTGTCAGGCTCATTGCCGGGCTGGAGTCGCTGGGGATGATGGGGCAGAAGGCTGGGGAGTGGTCCGAATTCCGCTTCACGTCTCCGGAGATCATACACCGCGAGAGGTTCAGGGCGTTCCAAGCGCTGGAGGTGAGAAAGACGGTTCGTGCTTTTGATGGGCTGGAACAGGCTCTGTGGCAGAAGGAGCACGGCATGCTTCTGGTGTGCTTTTTCTCGAGCATTCGTTTTTCGTTTGATCTTGTCGCGAGCGTCGACCTGGCGATTTGAAGTTTGTTACAATAGTCTTGGGAACAACGCTGTGTGTTTGACGGGGGGGGGGGGCGTACTCTGATATTTTACATGCCTTAGCGGTTAGACCATTGACCACGCGTCCTCGAGAGGACGGAGCATTGTTCCCACAGGACCGATCACCGATGGNCCGATGGCCAATCGTTCCTTTCTACTTTGCCAAAGGTGGCTCAACAATGTCTTCCCTACTCTGTCTATCCTAACGATATCCCTTCCCGCCTTGTCAACCCACCTCCTGTGCCCCGGTACAGCTACCGTCCTTTCCTCTCTATTCCATGCATCAAACATCTCCTTGTACGTCCCATCTATTTTTCCCAGCTCAGTCACGTACACTTCCCTCTCCTT